GAGAGAGAGAGAGAGAGAGAGAGAGAGAGAGAGAGAGAGAGAGAGGGGGGGGGGGGGGGGGGAGGGGGGGGGCGGATGGGAGCTGTTGACGTGGCGGGAGGTGCATCACATTGTGCGCAGATGCAACAGGAACATCGAGATTTCGGGCAGGTTGCCAACCCTCTGCCTGACCGTGCGACTGGCTGGGTGGCCGTCCAAAAGTTCATATTCGGCCACATATACACTGCCCAGAAAACAATTTCAGGAGGGCCTGCCAACCGTAAGCAGCACACTTATCAATTTTAAGAGGGCGGTAGACAGTCAGAGAGTCAAATATTCTCCTTGTCTCCTCCAGTGTTTTTACCTCCAATTGCCACCTCAGCACAATGAATTCCTGGCTATGGCAAGCTGAAACGGTATTCACCAGTTGCAGTAGCCGATGCAGATCCCAGGGCTCCATCCCTAGTCTCCACCTTACCTGTGTACAGTATCTGTGTCAACCCCTAGAGTTGAACCCGTGACCTGTGCATCTGTAACAGTTGGTAGGTTGTCGTAGGGTCCATAGGTAGCAGGGGTTCGATCTGTAGACCTGTAGAGTAGGTGTCTCAGTCAGGTCTAGAAGTCGTAGCTGTTGCTTTCTCGAAGAGTCAAGGTCGTAGCTGCTACAGTCCAGAAAGATCGTAGCTGCTACAGTCCAGAAAGGTCGAGGTCGTAGCTGCTACAGTCCAGAAAGGTCGAGGTCGTAGCTGCTACAGTATCGAAAGGCCAAGTCTACGGCCTTCCGGAAGGTCCGAGTAGTGGCCTTTCGAAGTCTCCCACGTTAAGGCTGAGGCAAGTGGACAAGTGGTGAGGCAAGTGGTGGAGTCTACCTGTGCTGAGTCAGCAGTCCCAGTCCTAGGCATTCCTGGTCCAGTCAAGCAAGTACTGCATGGGACTGTGTGCACTACGGGCATGGGAAGGGGCCAGACCAACGAGCTGCAGAAGTATAAATCAAGAGGCAGCACCCAGCCATTCATTCATTCCTGAGTGAGCCATGCGGAAGCGCTGCCACAAGCGACTTGTGCGAGGTGGTCTGCAGTGAGCCCGAGGACAAAGTGGGCGAGAGAGGAGTGTAGCCATAGCGATAGGGTAGTAACAGCCATAGCGGCCATAGCTATAGATAGAGTTCAGTGTATGTGTGTGTGTGTGTGTTCAGAGTATCGCGTGTGGGATATCCAGGTGTATGCGAACAGAGAGTTGTGTGGGCGCTGAGTCGCCATAGCCATCGAAGTGAACTTGTATTCTGAACTGTGTGCTCGGTTACCATATCTCTGAGTTCTGAGTGTGCGCTTGTGGCCAGTTTGCTGCGCACCTGTTTGCATGCATGAGAATAGTGAATGAGAGCGAGTCTGATTGCCTTGGTATTGGAGCTGGTACCCGCTATTCCACGCGCGCCGTGCCGTTGTGTGTCGCAGGGTGAAAACGCGCCACAGTTGAAGTTGCCAACGGAGGAGAAGTCCGCCATAGCGGACCCGGAGGTTGAAGAAGCCGCCGCGAGCACCTGCAGAGAAGACCACAGCGAAGAAGAAGAGAGAGAGAGAGAGAGAGAGAGAGAGAGAGAGAGAGAGAGAGAGAGA